TTGATCCTAACCTAATTTAGGTTAGGTTTAGGTTAGGTTTAGGTTAGGTTTAGATTAGGTTTAGGTTAAGAGACATTTTACGATAATTTGTCTCGAGGATGAAAACTGCATTAGAACCATAATGTTGGAACCCCTCAGCACACACAAAATATTGACTCGCCATATTTTGCTTCTCTTAAAACCACACACAACTTTTGTATTGAATTTTTTATTAGAACGCGTAATTTCCCCTCGACTTTCTTTTGTATCACCTACCAGCAATTTATATTTACGAAGCTTATTATTAATTAATATTAATTAATTTATATTAACTTCAAATAAAATGATACATCATTGGAAATAACTATTCAAATATTTAACACGAGATATCTTTCTAACGTGTGATATCGTTTAAATTGAAAGCAATCGTCAATGTGGTTTGTTAGAACAAGTATAATATACAAGAGATTAATGATACACAGTTGAAATAATATCCTTCATCGTTTTTCGAAATTTCGTAAGAAGCAATAAGAAATCTAATCTATGCGAATTACTCTGAATTAGTCTTCAGAAGTTTCTTTTGTTCTTCTTGTTATTAGAGCTTTCACTCTGGCCATTTCAGATATTATATTATCTGATGAATCGCATCATACAACACTAAACTATATACGTTATAATTACCAGCAAATTATAAAAAGAGAAAATCCGAATTGTTAGCTGAGGTACGATATCCCCTGAAAAGGGACAGTCTAGTGCAAACGGTTGAAAGTTACTTCAGTTACTTCAGTCACTCTGTACATGATACCGATACTGATACCTTGACTCTCTCTCTTTCCTTCGGTGTCAATTCGCCAAATACGCTTCTCCGCCTCTTTCGGTCCCGACTGTGAACGCTTGAATAAGCACTACTGTATTACAGGATACGTTCTAATTTTGAGTTAAGGATCGCCTGTACGTACGTTCTCTTTTCAGGTTGTGTGATCCAACGGTGCGTTAAATAGAAGGAACGTGCAAGAAACCACACAGACAGAGTAAAGAAAGAAAGGAAGGCACGGTCTGGAGAAGTTGGGCGAGAAGCGGGGGAAGCAGCACGCGTTGCCACTCTATCTCGCCGGGTCAGCTAACTCCCGGTTACTCTACTTTCGACTAACGACCCATCTAACTTCGGGATGCTCAAAGAGGGAACGTCTGTCGCAATGCCCGGCGACGATGCAATTACTTCGCGGCGCCCGTGCAACTAGCAATTTCCAGCGATGGCGTTAACGAGAGCCACGGAAAGGGACGATACGCGAGAATCTTAATGAAATTGTCAAGTGCCGCGTCATCGTTAAATTTTACGGCCACCGGCCTCCTACGACCGCGAAAAAAAAAAAAGAAAGAGAGAGAAACGATCGTGTATCTCTTGCATTGTGTCTCCTCGTCCGAATCACGTCCGAAACACTAGAACTATCGAAATGGTTCAGAATGACCAATTTATAGAATTTTTGTTAGAAATTCTGTATACGTCAGAGTATTTAAATAATTTTTCGAGGAACTTCACTGTATCATCTTTTTACTTTAATGTCTCTGCTGAGAATTGTATACATTAGTCGTCGGTTAAATATTCCCATTAACACGTTGTTTCTAATAATTGAAATCAGACGAGTATCTAAGCTAGCAAAGAATTTTAAACGACTAAATAACACGTGTGAAACGAGGAAACACTTTGTTGCAATATGTTTCGGTAGAAGTGTAAATTTGATTTCATTGCAATAATTAAATTACAACGATTCGAAAATTAGAGAACTATAAATCGTTCGTAGCGTACGCACGTCAGGAATATTCATCGAAGTAATTGTCGAAAGAGGAACAATTATTTTGGTAATTTGTCAACGATTTCTCCGCGACTCGGCCGGGTGCTCGTAAATATTCGAATGCCTGTACAAGTTCGTTAGACGATCCGGGAGCATTTTTACGCTCACCTGAGAGCCACTAGACTTGAAATTTCCCGGGGAGAAAATTCCCCCGTCCCGTGAGTGGTATCGACCGCGTCTGACTAAGCGTCGTGTTACGCTACTGGCTGGTCACAGATGCTCGCTAGCCCTCCGTCCGATTAATCACACGGCCGCGCTACTGAAACACACTCGAAAGATCACTTCGCGGCCCTCGACCACCTGGACAAAGAGAACAAGGTCCCGTTTAATTAGGTCAGCGTAGTCGCTAAAGTTCGTCTGAGTTCGCGTGCTCGCTGTGTCTCGTCGGCCGTTTTTCACGTGTGAAAAGCACGGAAAAATAAAGAAAATCCCGGGAAGGGGGGAAAAAGGTTCGTCTCTCGGGTGGTGGCGGATAAAGGGTGGAGCAAAAGTGGCCGATTTAAAAGGCTCGATGACCCACGAGCGGGACGAGTCGGTAATGTCGAGTCTCCCAGCAACGTTTGCGGACATTTCGAGCCATTAGGCGAGACACCGTGCAATTAACACCGTCGACACCCGCAAGAGTCCATTACGGGCGCCTTCGTTGTTTCCACCCTCGTGTTTTTCCCCGGCGAGCATCCCCTTCAGAACCGTTTCCACCCCCTCCGGCAAATCTTCTCGATTCTCAGTTAACACTCACAGTATCGTACTAAGCCAAGGACCAGCGAATCTGATCCTTCCCTTCCTTCGAGTTCCATTGAGCAAACGGATCCACCCATCCGCGGCATCTGTTGCGACACAAACCCACGAGTGTTAACACGAGCCTCGCAAACTCTTCCGACGCAGATCGACGAATTCGTTGAAATTTTATCGAGACAGATTCCCGAGCGTGTTTCTTTTGCCCGCGAGACCATCCGGGAACGAAAGTAAGAAGCTCGGCCGCGTAACAAGTGTGAACGCGTAGTCCTCTGGCAAATGATCTTCGCCCGGTGAAAAACTGCAAACGAATTTCTTGCCCGGCGAGATCAAAAGGGCAGAGGTTTTTTCCCGCGGACGCTCGCACGGGGGTGAGGAGGAGCCAGTCTGGAATAAGTCTGATTTGTTGCGAGATTGCGAAGGGGAAGTCGTGGAGGCGGTAGATAGTAAGTAACGAGGCTGCTTCGAGGGAGGAAGATGAACGAAGAGAAATGGCAGAACAGAAGGGAGAGAAAGAAACGATTGGTAGGTAGTTAGGCAAAAAAGGAAGGGAAGATCGATTCCTCGTCCTGTCGTTTCCTCTCCCACCGCGCGCGGTCTCTCCCGCATATCTTCATCCCTCTTCGACGCTTCTTTTTCTCCCGGTCGCCGCGACTTCTCGCCTCGTTCTCAACACCTTCAATGCCCCGTGATACGTTATACCTTTAACACACTCTCTCTCTCTCTCTCTTTCTCGTGTTACCCCCTTCGAGGATATTTTTCCTCCGACGCGTCAATTGATTCGTACAACGTATAGAGGCATCCATGCCTCTCCGGTGATCGATGGGACGTCTCTGCAGGGGCGAAATCGATTTTTACACAACAGCGGGAACGCAGAGACCAGGATATATTTTCCAGGAACAAATATTGCACATTCAGAAACATTTCCGCAGAGCCGAATGTTAAATAACCGAATGTAAAAAAAACGGTACATTTCCCAAGAACAAATTCCATGCAATATTTCACATTTTCGGAGAGACCTTTTACATCGCACGGGGGAAGGGAGGGGGGGGGGATGAATTTTGCACGCGCGATGTCTATCACTTTTCAATTTTCCCCTCGCGATTTTGCTCGCGAACGTTAAACGCGAAACGCGTCGGAAACGCGTCACTGGAACGAGACGGAACAGGTAAAACAGATATTTACGGAACAATTGTTTGCTCGACAGAGCGAAACGTTGGCATAATGTGCCGATATTAATTCCAAAAGTGCGGCGTCCGGGGCTGCCAACGGGGCAAATATTCCATCGGTTCCTTTGTCTTCGAATCTCGATTCGAATTAT